CCCAGTATCCCCAGTACCCCCCAGTATCCCCACTGCCCCCAGTATCCCCAGTGCCCCTGAGTGCCCCCGGTGCCCCCCATGCCCCCGGTACCTCCTTGATGCCCAGCAGCTTGTGCAGCAGGGGCAGCCCGTACGCTCCGGTTTTCCCCGAGCCCGTCCTGGCCCGGGCCAGCAGGTCGCGGCCCTCCATGGCCAGCGGGATGGCGCGGGCCTGGATGGCCGTGGGCACTGCCCAGCCCAGCTCTGCCACCGCCTGCGGGCACCGCGCCGGCTGTCACGGCCACCGTGACCCCGGTGCCAGCCCACGGACAGCCCCATGCCATGGGCACGGTCCCCAGTGTCCCCCCACCCCGGGGGACTCCGGTGTCCCCGTCCCCTCCCCTCAGCGGGACCCCGGCGATCGCTGCCCGCAACCGCCCGCTCCGGTGTCCCGCTCGCCCCTCCCGGCCCCGTTGCCCCTCACCCTCAGCAGCCGCCCGTCCAGCCCCATGTGCTCGAACCCCTTCTCCTCCATCTCTGCCGCCATCTTGGCCCCGCCGCCCACACACACAAACACACTTCCGGCCGCGCTGCGCCGCCCACAGACACTTCCGGTGGCGCGCCCAGAGCGCCCCCAGAGCGGCTGGAAGCTTACAGCGCCTCCTGGCGGGGGAGGACTCACAGCATCCCCGACACCCCAAAATCCCCCCGGGCTTGATTTTTGGGGGGAAACCGCACTTTGGGCAGGCAGCTGAACGCCTGGAGCGCCAGGACCCCCTCCCCGCCCCAAAAACGCACCGACACCTCTTGGTGGAACCAAAAAACCTTTATTCCCCCCCAAAAAAAAACCACCTTGTGGAGTGGTGCTTCTCTGCCCTCCCCCACGGCAGGCAGGGCACCCCAAACCCGCAGCGAGCGCCCCGGGATGGGTTTGGGGTCCCACAAGGGAGTGGGGGGCCCTCCCCAGCACCCAGGGTGGGTGGGATGGGTTTGGGGGAGCCCCCGGGGTCCATCCCCAGCACCCGGGGTGGGTGGGGTCCCCCATCACGGGGCTGAGGGCGGGTTTTGGGGTGCCCCCCGAGGGGGTTTCGGGGGGCTACACCAGTTTCTTGGCCTCGAAGAAGCTCTTGAGGTGCCGCATCTGCCAGAGGCCGGTGAGGATGAGGATGACGGTCTGGGCGATGGACCACCAGAGCACGCGCTGGTTCGTGCTCTCGCTGGTCATGCGGAACCGCTCCTCGCGGTACTGCAACACCCAGCCCAGAGTCACCCCAAAATCCACACATTCTCCCCAAAATCCACCCCAGCCCCAGAGATTCACCCCAAAATCCACACTGAAACCCCAGAGATTCACCCCCCAACCAGGGCACCAGCCATGGCACCAGCCAGGGCTACAACCAGGGCTACAACCAGGGCTCCAACCATGGCACCAACCATGGCACCAACCATGGCACCAGCCAGGGCATCAACCATGGCATCAACCAGGGCACCAACCATGGCACCAGACATGGCACCAGCCATGGCTACAACCATGGCACCAGCCATGGTGTCAACAATGGCACCACCCACGGCTCCAAGCATGGCACCAAGCATGGCATCAACCATGGCTCCAAACATGGCACCAACCAGGGCACCAAGCACAGTGTCAACCATGGCACCAACCAGGGCACCAACCATGGCATCAACCACGGCTCCAAGCATGGCACCAGCAATGCACAGCCACAGGGAGGGCACACAGCCGTCATGAGCAGTGGCACCAGGGCTGGCACAACCTACCAGCTTGCCCCCGGCGAACAGCGCCATGCGGGTGGAGTTGGAGTGCAGGCAGATCTGGTGCTCGCCCGGCGTGTGCGACGTGAAGGTGAAGCGCCCCTCGGAGCCGTACTGCCGCGACATCACCACCTGTGCCAACCGGGACACTCAGGGCACGGGCACGGCCGCTGGCACCCCTGGGACACTGTCAGTGCCATGGGCACGGCTGCTGGCACCCCCTGGGACACTCAGGGCACGGGCACGGCCGCTGGCACCCCTGGGACACTGTCAGTGCCATAGGCACGGCCGCTGGCACCCCTGGGACACTGTCAGTGCCATGGGCACGGCCGCTGGCACCCCTGGGACACTGTCAGGGCACAGGCACGGCCGCTGGCACCCCTGGGACACTCAGGGCACGGGCACGGCCGCTGGCACCCCTGGGACACTGTCAGTGCCATGGGCACGGCCGCTGGCATGCCCGGGGGATGCCCAGGAACCCTTCCCCATGCCCAAGGGATGCCCAGGGATCCCTCCCCATGCCCAAGGGATGCCCAGGGACCCCTCCCCGTGCCCAAGGGATGCCCAGTAATCCCTCCCCGTGCCCAAGGGATGCCCAGGGACCCCTCCCCGTGCCTCGGGGGGGTGCCCAAATCCCCTCATGGACCCCTCCCCGTGCCCAGGGGATGCCCGGGAAGCCCCCTCACCTTTCCGTCGGGGTCCTTGACCTCCACGTGCATGCCCAGCCCGGGCGTGGAGGGCAGGAAGGACTCGGACTGTTTGTCCCACAGCTGCGTCCGGTAATTGCCTGGCACCGAGCGGGCACACGGGCTCGGAGCCGACCCCCGTGCCCGGTGGGCTCTGATCCCCGCCGAGCCCCTCAGTGCTTCCTCCCGCTCCCCGCGAACCCCGGCACCCCCTCCGGTGGTCTCCCCCGGTGGTCTCTCCCGTCCCCCCCCCGCCATTCCCGGTGGTCTCTCCCGTCCCCCCCTCACGGCCCCCGCCATTCCCGGCGCTCCCCGCCGCCGCCCGCACCGATGACCATGGTCTCGTCGGGGATCTCCTCGATGAAGCAGCGCTTCTCGGTCTCTCCGATGTGGAAGTAGAGCCCGTGCGCGCCCCAGCCCAGCAGCAGCACCGCGGCCATCGCCGCCCTCAGCGCTTCCCACAGCGCCGCCATGGCTCCTCCTGCCCTCCCGCCGGGGGCGCTCTGCGCGTGCGCCAGCTCCTCGCCCGGCCTCAGCGCGCACGCGCCGCACTCTCGGCGCACGCGCAGTGCTGCCCTGAGCGCCCTGCCCGTCCCTCGCGGCTTCGCGCCTCGCTCTGCGCATGCGCAACACCCACGGCCACTCAGCGCTCCCCACGCCGCCCCTGCGCGCTTCCCGCCGCTCCCGCAGCGCGCATGCGCGCCCGCCGCCGCTGTGGCGCAGCGGGGAGGGCGCTGCTCTCTGGCTGCAGAAACCGCGAGTTCGAGCCCCGCCGCAACCACTATGGGCGTCGCGGTGTCCCCGCGGCGTGTCGCGCTGTCACCCCCCCCACCCCTCGCCATGTGTCCCCTCGATTGTCACCCCGCGGGGGTGCTGAGCAACGGCGGGGGCGGGGCGCGCCCTTCTCAGCAGTGTGGCAACACCACCGGCAACTTTCTTCCTTCCTTCCTTCTTTCTTCCCTCGCCGCCGCCCGCTGCGCCCGGAGCCGGGGTCCCACCGGAGCCGGGGTCCCACCGGGGGTCCCACGGGAGCCGGGGGTGTCACAGGAGCCGGGGGTGCCACCAGAACCAGGGGTCTCACAGAAGCCGGGGGTCTCAGCGGAGTCGGGGTCTCAGCAGAGCCGGGGGTGTCACAGGAGCCGGGGTCGCACCGGAGCCGGGGGTCTCATGGGTGAGCGCTGCCCGGGGACCCCGCGCACGGCCCGGAGGGGACACGGAGCGCCTGGCACGGCCGGTGCCCCCGGGAGGGGTCCCCAAGGCTCGGGGGGCGCGGGCAGGGGGCGCGGGGGTCTCCGGGTGGCCGCCCTCAGCCTCGCCCTCCTCTTCCTCCGCGCAGAGGCCGAAGGCTTCGCCCTCTGCCAGGCGCCCGCGCTGCAGACCAAGGTGTTCCAGTACCGGTAAGGGACAGCGGGGCTGGCAGGGGACAGCGGGGGTGGCACCGAGGGGTGGCACCGAGGGCTGGCACGGCTGTCCCCGCTTTGCCCGGCAGGCTGTGGGACGTGAACCAGCGCTCGCTGTACCTGCGCGACGAGCAGCTGCTGGCCGGGCACCTGCAGGGCGCCAACGCCGCGCTGGAAGGTGACACGGGGACAGCGCGAGGACGCGCGGGGACGCGCGGGGACGCGCGCTGAGGGTCCCCGTGTCACCTGCAGAGAAGGTGTTCTGGGTGCCCAACCGCGCCCTGGAGCCCGCGCGGCTGCCGGTGATCCTGAGCGTGCGGAGCGGCTCCCGCTGCCTGCGCACCGAGCGCGGCCCCGGCGGAGAACCGCGGCTGCGGCTGCAGGTGGGGACAGCACAGGGGACAGCACAGGGGACAGCGCGGGGATAGCGGGGAGACAGCGAGGGGACAGCGGAGGGACAGCGAGGGGACAGCGGGGGGACAGGACAGGGGACAGCGGGGACAGCGAGGGGATAGCGGGGGGACAGCGCGGGGACAGCGAGGGGGACAGCGAGGGGACAGGACAGGGGACAGTGGGGACAGCGGGACAGCGGGGACAGCGAGGGGACAGGGACAGGCATGCCAAGAGGATGGGGACATCACAGGGATGGGCACGGAGATGGGGACACCGTGGGAATGGCGACATCAAAGGGCTGGGGACACCAAGGGGTTGGGGACACCTAAAGAGACGGGGACACTGTGGGGGTGGTGACGAGGATGGAGACACAGAAGTTTTGGGGATGGGACGCCGTGGGGAGGGGACAGCTGGGGACACAGGGACCTCAGGGGTGGGACATTGAGGGACAGGGACACGGGGACCTCAGGGGTGGGACACTGAGGGACAGGGACACGGGGGCCACAGGACACTGCTGGCTGGGGACATCACGCCGTGCCCAGCCGCTGGCGCTGTCCCCGCGGGTGACACGGCGGTGTCCCCGCAGGACGTGGACATCCGGGAGCTGCCCCGCGCCGGTGACAGCGCTGTCGCCTTCACCTTCTTCCGCTCCTACCGGGACGGGCTGTGGCGCTTCGAGTCGGCCGCGCACCCCGGCTGGTTCCTGTGCACGTCCCCGCGCGGCCACCAGCCCCTGGCGCTGTGTCGCCACGGCGATGTCACCTCCCAGCTGCTCGACTTCTACTTCCAGCTCTGCTGAGCGCCCCCGGTCCCCGCGCGGGGACAGCGGAGCCCCAGGGTGGTGGCATCTTCCTGGGGAGGGTGGCATCACCCCCAGGGTGGTGGCATCCTCATCCCAGGGTGGTGGCATCTTCCTGGGGAGGGTGGCATCACCATTTTGGGGACAGGTCACCGAGGGGACAGAGGGCACATGGGAATGTGGGGACAGGGAAAGGGGACAAAAGGGACAGGGAAGGTGGCATTTTGGGGACAGGTCACCATGGGGACAGAGCACATGGCATCTTGGGGACAGGGAATGGGGGACAAAAGGGACAGGGAAGGTGGCATTTTGGGGACAGGGATTGGAGGACAACAGGGACAGGGGACATGGGATCTTGGGGACAGGGAAAGGGGACAAAAGGGACAGGGAAGGTGGCATTTTGGTGACAGGGGACAGAGCCATGGGATTTTTGGGCTTTGGGACCACAGGAACAGGGGACACAGGGACACCATGGGGACACCATGGGGACAGAGCACATGGGATCATGGGGACAAGGCACACAACACCTTGGGGACAGGGCACCCCGGGCCTTGGGGACAAGGGACACGACAATAGGGACAGGGAAGGTGGCATTTTAGGGACAGAGCCATGGGATTTTTGGGCTTTGGGACCACAGGAACAGGGGACACAGGGACACCATGGGGACACCATGGGGACAGAGCACATGGGATCATGGGGACAAGGCACACAACACCTTGGGGACAGGGCACCCCGGGCCTTGGGGACAAGGGACACAGGCATGGGACACAGGGAAACTGGGGACAGGGCACGTGGGAATTTGGGGACAGTGCTCACAGCACCTTGGGGACAGCGCTCATGGTGACAATGGTGACAAGGTGATGTCACCGCAGGGAGGGGGCACAGGGGCCACCCACGGGGCACCATGGGGACACGGGGGGGACACGCCTGGCACAGGGGACACGGCACAGGGGACATCCCCGCCGCGGTGACTGCGGGCATCACGGAGGTGGCGTTTCGCCATGGCTCGGTGTCACTGTCGCTGTCACCCAGCCCGATTCGCGGGGCGGGCTCTGTCCCCGCCCCGCCCGGCCCTATAAAGCCGCTGTCACCCGCGGGGACACGGCCCAGAGGACAAGGGACAGGATCCCGGGAGGTGACACATCCGCAGGTGCCACCGGGGGACGGGGTCAAGCTCGGGGACAATCCTGCTGGCACGCGGTGTCACCTGTGCCACCCTCTCCGCCGGCCCAGCCATGTCACACACGTCCAGAGCTGCCCTCAGGTGAGCGGGGACAGCGGGGGACAGCGGGGGACAGCGTGGGGACAGCGTGGGGACAGCGTGTCCCCGCCTCATGCCTGGCAGTGTCACCTCCCTCCCTCCCCGGTGTCACCTGCCCTGACCCTTCTGTCCCCGCAGGGGGACACCTTGGGGACACCGCCCAGGGGTCACGTCGGGGAACGGGGACACGGCCGAGAGTGTCATCGACCCCGACATGGTGGCCTTGTTCGAGGACTTCCTGGGGACAGGTGGGTGCAGGTGTCCCCGTGTCCCTGTCCCCATCCCTGCTCCAAATGTCCCTGTGTCCCTGTCCCCATGTCCCTGCCTGTCCTTGCCCCACGTGTCCCCATGTCCCCATGCCCATCCCTGTCCCCATGTCCCTGTCCCCATGCCCCCATGTCCCCGTGCCCCACGTCCCCGTGTCCCATGTCCTCCTGTCTATCCCCACGTCCCTGTGATGTCCCCATGTCATTGTGTCCCATGTCCCTGTCCCCATGCCCCCATGTCCCCACCTGTCTATCCCCATGTCCCTGTGATGTCCCCATGTCATTGTGTCCCATGTCCCTGTCCCCATGCCCCCATGTCCCCACCTGTCTATCCCCATGTCCCTGTGATGTCCCCATGTCCCCGTGCCCCATGTCCTTACCTGTCCATCCCCATGTCCCCCTGTCTATCCCGACGTCCCCGTGTCCCACGTCCCCACCTGTCTGTGCCCCTGTCCCCGTGTCCTGTGTCCCATGTCCCGGTGTCCCCGTGTCCCATGTTCCTACCTGTCTGTGCCCCTGTCCCCGTGTCCTGTGTCCCATGTCCCTGTGTCCCTGTCCCCATGTCCCCCTGTCTATTCCCATGTCCCCACCTGTCCACCCCCACATCCCTGTGATGTCCCCATGTCCCCGTGCCCCATGTCCTTACCTGTCCGTCCCCATGTCCCCCTGTCTATCCCGATGTCCCCATGTCCCGGTGTCCCCGTGTCCCATGTTCCTACCTGTCTGTGCCCCTGTCCCCGTGTCCCATGTCCCCCTGTCTCTCCCGGTGTCCCATGTCCCGGTGTCCCCGTGTCCCCAGAGATGGCGGTGGCGTTCGGGGCGGGCCGCCCCGGGGCCCAGCCGTACCACTACGTGCTGCGGGACACGGAGCAGCAGGGGCTGTGCCTGCGCCACGGCCACCTGGTGGCCACCAGCCTGCAGGGGGCCAACGCCACCCAGGAAGGTGCGTGACACCCGGGGACAGTGGGGACAATCCGCGGGTGACACCCTGGGGGGGGACAGGGGGGACAATCCATAGGTGCCACCCTGGGGACAGGGGTGACACTCCATGGGTGACGCCCTGGGGGGGGATAGGGGTGACCATCCATAGGTGACACCCTGGGGGCCAGTGGGGACAATCCATGGGTGACCCCCTGGGAGGGGACAGGGGTGACAATCCAGAGGTGACACCCTGGGGGACAGTGGGGACAATCCATGGGTGACCCCCTGGGAGGGGACAGGGGTGACAATCCAGAGGTGACACCCTGGGGGACAGAGGTGACACTCCATGGGTGACACCCTGGGGGGGGATAGGGGTGACAATCCATAGGTGACACCCTGGGGGACAGTGGGGACAATCCATGGGTGACACCCTGGGAGGGGACAGGGGTGACAATCCATAGGTGACACCCTGGGGGACAGAGGTGACACTCCATGGGTGACACCCTGGGGGGGGACAGGGGTGACAATCCATAGGTGACACCCTGGGGGACAGAGGTGACAATCCTTTGGTGACCCTCTGGGTGACATGGGTGACTCTCCATGGGTGACACTGGGGGGGAGATAGGGGTGACAATCCATAGGTGACACCCTGGGTGGGGACAGGGGTGACACTCCCCGCGTGTCCCTCTGGGGGTGACAGTGGTGACAATCCGTGGGTGTCCCTCTGTGGGGATGGGGTGACACTCCACGGGTGTCCCTCTGTGGGGATGGGGTGACAATCCACGGGTGTCCCTCTGTGGGGATGGGGTGACAATCCACGGGTGTCCCTCTGTGGGGATGGGGTGACAATCCGTGGGTGTCCCTCTGGGTGACGGCGGTGCCACCCCCGTGTCCCACAGAGCCCATCAGCGTTGTCCCCAACCGGCACCTGGAGCGCCGGCGCTGTCCCCTCATCGTGGGCATCCGCGGTGGCACCCGCGCCCTGTCCTGTGGCACCGGCCCCGAGCCACGGCTGAGCCTGGAGGTGACACGGGGACACGGGGGGGACCGAGGGTGGCAGAGGGGGCTGGGGGTGACGGAGGGGACACAGGGGGACACGGGGGGGACAGGGGGTGACACAGTGTGGGGCACTGGGGACACAGAGTGGGGACAGGCCAAGGTGGGACAGCTTGAGATGGGTCAGGGCAAGGTGGGCAACGCAAGGTGGGTCAGTCAAGGTGGGTTAATCCAAGGTGGGTTAATCCAAGGTGTGTCACCCAAGGTGGGTCAGTCAAGGTGAGTCAACCCAAGGTGGGCAACCCAAGCTCAGTCAATCCAAGGTGGGTCAGTCAAGGTGGGTCTGGGTGGGGACAGGGGTGACACTCCCCGCGTGTCCCTCTGGGGGTGACAGTGGTGACAATCCGTGGGTGTCCCTCTGTGGGGATGGGGTGACACTCCACGGGTGTCCCTCTGTGGGGATGGGGTGACAATCCGTGGGTGTCCCTCTGGGTGACGGCGGTGCCACCCCCGTGTCCCACAGAGCCCATCAGCGTTGTCCCCAACCGGCACCTGGAGCGCCGGCGCTGTCCCCTCATCGTGGGCATCCGCGGTGGCACCCGCGCCCTGTCCTGTGGCACCGGCCCCGAGCCACGGCTGAGCCTGGAGGTGACACGGGGACACGGGGGGGACCGAGGGTGGCAGAGGGGGCTGGGGGTGACGGAGGGGACACAGGGGGACACGGGGGGGACAGGGGGTGACACAGTGTGGGGCACTGGGGACACAGAGTGGGGACAGGCCAAGGTGGGACAGCTTGAGATGGGTCAGGGCAAGGTGGGCAACGGGGGACACGGGGGGGCCGGGGGGGGGCAGGGGGTGACACAGTGTGGGGCACTGGGGACACAGAGTGGGGACAGGCCAAGGTGGGACAGCTTGAGATGGGTCAGGGCAAGGTGGGCAACGCAAGGTGGGTCAGTCAAGGTGGGTTAATCCAAGGTGGGTCAGTCAAGGTGGGTTAATCCAAGGTGGGTTAATCCAAGGTGTGTCACCCAAGGTGGGTCAGTCAAGGTGAGTCAACCCAAGGTGGGCAACCCAAGCTCAGTCAATCGTCAAGGTGGGTCAGTCAAGGTGAGTCAACCCAAGGTGGGCAACCCAAGCTCAGTCAATCCAAGGTGGGTCAGTCAAGGTGGGTCAATCCAAGGTGGGTTAATCCAAGGTGGGTGAGTCAAGGTGGGTCAGTCAAGGTGAGTCAACCCAAGGTGGGCAACCCAAGCTCAGTCAATCCAAGGTGGGTCAGTCAAGGTGGGTCAGTCAAGGTGGGTTAATCCAAGGTGGGTCAGTCAAGGTGGGTCAGTCGAAGTGAGTCAATCCAAGGTGGGTCAACCCGCGGGGGACAGAGGTGACACTCCATGGGTGACACCCTGGGGGGGGATAGGGGTGACAATCCATAGGTGACACCCTGGGGGACAGAGGTGACACTCCATGGGTGACACCCTGGGGGGGGACAGGGGTGACAATCCATAGGTGACACCCTGGGGGACAGAGGTGACAATCCTTTGGTGACCCTCTGGGTGACATGGGTGACTCTCCATGGGTGACACTGGGGGGGAGATAGGGGTGACAATCCATAGGTGACACCCTGGGTGGGGACAGGGG